ATATTAATACTATAGTCGAAATTAACCGAAAGGTGAAGGGTTACTTAGGTGGAACGGCCATGTTAAATAAAAAAGAAAATAAAAGAACATTCACGACCATTTTCGAGCTCCTTTAATTAGAAAATAAACTAATAATTTAACTAGGTAGACTGTGAACTGTGACTGGAATGATAGATGACTGTCTACCGCTAAGCATCGACTTACACACAGCCCAGACGACGATATTAGATAATAGCTCAAAATCGATGCATAGAACTGCATATACCTACGTAATATGGGTAGAAAGGCATACAGAGCCGTGCCTACGTCTGGCACACCCTGGCCAGTCAACCTCGATGCCATCTTTATTATAAAGTCAACGTCTACACCACGTTGGTATATGTTTCTTTACATCAGGGATTCATATCGACATGGAGAAGTTTTAAACATTATAATATTATTTATATTTATGTAAATATGTACTTACTAGCTGAACCGGAAAGTTCATACCGCCTCAAATTTTTTTTACTCGACTGATTTCTCACCATTTAAACCTTCCCTGGATTTCCACGAACATTTCATGACCAAACTTAGTTAGGTATATCGGTTCAGCCGTTCTTGAGTTTTAGCGAAACTAACGAACGGATATTCAATTTTATTTAACTATGTAGATAGATATGAAGGATTATTATTAAGGATCGGTGTAGGATGACGCTATAATAAATCTGTAGTAAGTGGGTAAGCTTATTGTCGTATAGGAAACACAATTCCAGGTAAGGTTTTAATTGAAAATTTGACAAATCAAAAACACTGATAATACTATTATCTGGCCCAAGAGTCCGACACCCGATATAATTGACACAGCAATCATGCTAATTGCGAGCACTCACAAAATTGAAAATAGTATTCAAATTCAATTACAGGAAAAAGTACTCCAACAAAGTGAACGATGCATTCAATTATAGAGGGGACATATCACTCCAAAAACAAATATACTGTATGAGAATAAAGTATAGTTGAGGAACTATAGAGGATCATTATTAACATACATAACATCACGCCTTTTATCCCGTAAGGGGTAGGCAGAGGTGCACATTTCGGCACTTAATGCCACTGTACCTACAATATAACACCCGCTTTTCACTATTTATGTTATGAGTCCCATGTAATAGCGGGTGAGCCTATAACCATACCGGGCACATTTCTAGACTACGTGCGATTACTGAGATTGTTTTAAAACTCAGTAATACTTTGCCCGGCCCGCACTTGCGACCACTCGGCCAACGAGGCAGTCAACATAATTATAATTAGAAGCAATATAGAGTTTTGTGTTAGTCGCTCGTTACGGAAGAATATCGATTAATTAAAACCACTTCCTCTTTGGACAACTCGATTGCTCGTTTTTAAACCGGTTCTAATGTCTGCCATGTTGGATATTATAGTAAATAGGTACATACATACATACATACGTTTTAATGCAGAATGGGTAATTTGTAACTATATATGTTTGTTCGTTGTGTAGATACTTAAACTTGTTAAACTGTTAAACATGTTGGTTATAATATTCCCGTTAGTTCATTATACATAGATGAAAGAAAATAACTTTTTAATTGGTAAGATTGTAAAAATGCAATTACATATTATAAGCATGGAAATTTCTGATTTGTGTTGGTTGTTAGTTGCGCTTTTCGATCAAATTCTCCATTATTAGACGGTAATTAGCGAATACTAAATATTAGGTACACACGGCCACACATCAATCTATACAAAACCAGTTTATCCTGGTATCGCGTCGCATCATCTTTCCGCACATTCAACGTTCAGTTTATACTGGATAAGTAAAACTCGATATGTAGCCGTGTGTACGATAGTCTAAAAAAACAATCAGCCGAACATAGTACCTCCTCCTTTTTTTGAAGTCGGTAAAAATATAATATATTCAAATGAAAAAAATAAGTGTACTGAAATGTAACGGATATAATACCACATTGGGGGAATAACAGAAATAAGAAATATTAACTAGATGTTGTTTTTAAATTGGAAATGATGCAACAAATATCATTAGTACTTAAAGCTGTAGTTACTGACGTAAAAAAGGTGGCAACCATATTGTTAATACGGAACATTTGCCGCGCTGACCGTGAGCTATTAAATACTGAAGCAAAACACCACAATTTGCCAAGAATTCTGGCACCGAAGTATATTTATCGTAAGTGCAATCATTTCTTTGAGTTTATAGATTTGATACGATAAATTAGGAATCGAGATTATACATATAGGATAGATGTATAAGTTACAGTTTCTTTATTGACGTTCAAAAGTGCCTTTCTGGTCTAATTGAAATAAATGATTTTGACTTTGACTTTCAAAGGTTTATTTTATTGCTAGCTATTGCCCGCAATATGAATTTTAGGACATAACCTTCTTTTTGTTTCATTTTTCCAAAATAAAAGTATCCTATGTCACTCCTTAGTACAAAGTTCCGTCAAAATTGGTCCAACCATTCCAGAGAGCTAGTACAAACAGACGACAGATAGAAATACAGACAGACCGAAATTTTAAAAATTGTTAGTTAGTAGTGGTTAGTTATGTATGTATTGTACGGATATTCATGTGTATATGTGTAGTAAATACCGGTTATTTTAATATTATAAACAGACACAAATTTATTTATCTATCTGTACAGATTACTAGCACTAGGTTTCCAGTTCGTTGCCCAGGTACAGACAAAAGAATGCACATTTTTGATGTTTGGCAGCTGGTATCCTTTATTCGACTAGTTAAATAAAGGCACCTTTACTTTTCGCCATTTTTATTGTATTAGTTTGGAGAAATTTCATACACAAAGCACAATAATAGCCTCACTTTAAAGAAGTTCTAGGAAAACTTCTGCGAAATAGTTTTTCCATTCTTTTAATAACAATAGATTATATCTAGATCTAGATAGACATCTATTTCGCTATCCAGCTGCACTGGACGGACCGATTGGCTGGTATGATGGACCGCTGAGATAACAAATTAAATTCTGCGCGGAGACTAAAGGAATGAACTCAATTTATTTTTCTATCTTTTTATCTTTATTAGAAAATATAGATGAACATTTGGAATGCCCTATCACTCTATAGGTATATATCTTGGTTTTGGTAACTACGTAGGTAAGTACTCGTCATAGTTGTAATATGATATCATTAACTTTACACCAAGATAGGTAATGCTGTACATCCAAAAATAAAAAGGGTATTTACAGAATTTTGTATCTACCACTTGGCGCTAGTGAGCTGTAAAGCCCCCGGAGAACAATCTACAGTTGTGTGTGTGTGTGAGATTTATGCCGGAATACTGAAACGTTACTCAATTTTAAGTCGTGCTTAAATATCGTGGCATCTCTGTCATTTTACTAAGAATTTGTAGGGACAGGGCTATACTTAAGCGCGACTTAAAATTGTGTAGCGTTTGAGTATTCCGACACTAATCAGCTCTTCCATCACCTGAAGCATCAACCATCCTCCTTACTACATCTTTGTAGAAAGAAGTTAGTGATAGGAAGACGGTTGAAGTGATAGCGGATGAACAGATCATTATTATGGTGCCGACTTGGTATAGGGGCATGAGTAAGAAGAAAAAGATTTTTGACACGAAAACCATAAAGGGCTAGACTGTAGCCGCAAAAGCGTTGAATACAACTGCTTATTTAACCAAATCTGACTAAGCTTTAACGTTGACATTAGGCTTGCTTGTTGATTATGAAAATAAAAATAACTTCGAAGCAGTCAATATTTTCACCGTCGTAGTAACCTATAAATAAGTAAGTGGTATCAATAAGGTTTGTAGGAGCAGGTAATGTATGTGGTTCGGAAGCGGAAGGTGCGTTGACCGGCCCTCGGGAATGGCCTTAAGCTGTATGAACAACGAACATGCAGCAAATTCATGACTTACCAAGTTTAGCGTGGCCTTATGTGGATTATATTACACGAGATAAACGATACAAACTACATTATGACTTTATTGAAGTTTTATAAAGTTTATTGGACAGTTTTCTTTTTGTTTGTCTTCCTGATTACCTCTTGTGTCAAGTTGTATCGTCCTCAATTTCACAAGATAAGTAATCCCTTTGACGTAAAGGTATTTCCGTCAGGGAAAATGCAAGGATGGTCTGACGACTGACGTCGCCCGTTAGGTACTTTTTATAAGGATAATATCGCTTGCTCGCGTTCTTATTCAACTGCTACAGCAGGACTGGTGAGCCATTCATAAATTTAAATAAACAGTTAGTCTCAAAATGATCTTAAGAATGAAGAGGTGTGCGAACGTGTGTGGTTTTATTCCAGTTTTAAAAAGAAACCGTTATTTTAGATTTAAATTAATGAAAAAAGATACACATACAGTTAAGTCAGTATGTTTTATTCCGTTACGTTGCGCTATTTAGGCATTAAATCGTAGAATATGATGTTATTTTTGTTGTAAAAGTGATTTATTGTTGTTATCTACGTTTAAATTATAATTGGAATAATGTTTTATCATAAAATGTCAAAATAAATGATTCAAAAATAACATTTCAGCAGTAAAACTGTTTTATGTAATGCATTGCGTCGAATAAAAATGATTTAGGACCGTAACTTGTATGTAACCAATGGCAAGGTGGCAGCGTCTGTGTAACAATAATAAAAATACAAAGGTTGTTATCACCGTGCAGTAACTGCATACACTTGATTAGTTATTACAAAAAGCCACGTAGGTACGTATATTACTTTTCAATCAATAATGTATTTAATTAGTATTGTTTTATTTATGTAAGTACCGCGTTGTATAATCCCTAAGAATACCTTTTAGATATACATATATATTGTGTAGGCGTTGAAACAACAACCCTCGATATTTTTGATAAAAAAATCAGGTAAAGGTCCCTATTGCAGCCTCCGCCCTTTTGGGAATCAAAATAAATACAAGCCATGTGCCTTAATGTTTTGTCGTATTGTGTCGGTCGGGCGGGTGTAGTCGAGTCGCACATTCCATACAAACCGAGCAAAGAAACAAATACCCGATATCTACAACGTGATACAACTGAGTCATCTTTCGTCATTCGACGAGCGAGTTGTAGTGGAATTCTCATGGCCACCAGTTCGCGTGCACCGGTGTTCGAGCGCGGTCAAACATATCGTCGCTCGCTACTCGCTCTATATTATCGTCGCTATTTTCGGTCGAGAGCCGCGCGATTGATAAGCACCAAACTACCCTTGTGCTTCGATCGCATCGCACGGGTCTACAGTTCTCGCCGCGACTCGGAAACGCTAGTTCCAGTTTCAAGTTGATCATTTTGAATATTATTCGTATTTGCGCCGGCGACTCGTGAATATCAATTTGATATTAACTTGCAAATAGACGTGACGGATGAGTGAGTTTTCGTTTCCGAAGGTGTTGTGGGAGCGCGAGTCGGCAGGCGTCAGCGCAATGGACAGCTGCTACAAGCTGTACACTTGGGTCAACCACACGGTGCTGATGCTGCTCTTCCAGATATTCTGGAAAGTGAGCCAGATCTCCGACTACTTGACTGGAAAGTGAGTTCAGAAACATTCTTCTTTCTTATCTGCTTTGAGAACACATTATCAGTGATTAACATTCCACAACGATTAACATTTTACCTTTCGTGCGCTAGAAACTTTATTTCGTCCAACGTGCCTAGGTTAGTGTTATGTAAACATTGAAAAATGTTTAGGTTATCTAATTGTAGCAACAATAATACATCTATAATGTATCAACTAATTGTAATTAGTTCAGCTGTCGTAGGTAAGGTAGGTAGGAAAATAGTTGCTATAAAATTCTCTCTGAATCTGTATGTACCTTCTGTATGTAACATTTAAGATAGTTTATCTGATAAACTGATCCGAGATACGATTCATACAACAATGTATTCGTGACGGTAGCTTATTTATAAGAAATCTCTGATAGAAATAATCCGTCGTCTTCCGTCGATACGTGTCTTATATTCACTTTTTATTTAATTAAGTAACAATAAGTGCCTCCATAACGAAATGAATGAAATCTTTGCTTTATTTGCTTTTGACAATAACATTCCAACGACACATTCCTTCTCTTTATTTGGCTTCGTAGGGGAGCAAAAAATACAAATCATTGAGCAACCATGTCTCCGAACATGTGAATGGCAGCTGATTCCTGTGAGATATTATAAAACACTTTTTTTACTTGGCCGGTTCTATTTCTATCACCTGTGCCTAAGAACACTTTCAAATTCGATCTCTTTATTCTCTATACCTACATTTTTAAAAATAAATCGCGTAGAATAAATAACGCGGGAGATTTGAAAATGGAAAGAGGCCTTTCAGACAATAGACAAATTTTAATATACTAATCGTTACACATTGATGCAAAGGAAACCTAACGATGGTTTGTTATGAGTTTTTACCGGTCGTCAAAATATTAAAGGAGGTATTTACCAACAATAATGTTATTGTTTAAAATACACTCGTCCTGTGAAACTTATTGATTTACTCTTAACAATCGTGAACTGTGGTGCCTACATTTTAAATAAATAATTCATAATATTATTATACTTATTGATTTTAATAGCATTGTCTTTCATTGACTTTCCCAGGTCAGGGTGATTTTTATTCACATTAATTCGCTTATTATCTTAATGAGTAAATAAATATTATTATTACTTAAGCGACAGACAGGTTAAGAACCCTGCTCTCAGTGCCAAGCTTAATTACTAGTGAGAGATATAAATAAGCAATTAAGCAGTTTTATAAACATTATCTGTTGAGGTACCATTAGGATATTTATATCATGAATAGGCCACTGTGCAGAGATTATTTCTTGAATTTCGTCCCATACATGCGTTTTAAAAATAGAACTAAGTTGCTATGCCTACAGCTTTTATTTTTTTTTCTTTTATACATATATGACCTTGTTATTTCAAGCTCACTATGAATAAAAACTCGTTCATGCTTTGTTTGCCTTAAAAAAGACAAACAATAACAAAGTACCACTTTTTAACTTAGGTATCATTACTTACATCCATCAAAATAACGAACATAACATTGTTACGAATATTAAAACAATGCCGAAACATTGAATGTTTTTATAATGCGTAAGTAATATTATGATTTGTAAATATTATTTAAATAAAATTACGTGTGTTTAGTTATGAATATGTTTTGTCTTCCGGGTGTCTAGTATGAATTACTTACCTATTAATAATATTATTATCTATACGATTCTGATTTACATATTTTTTATCTGTGTCTAATAAAAACTGATTTTGTTTATGGTTAGGCTCTAAATAGTTATTTAACTTACTCGTTTGTCCTGTTTATTCTTTTTTTGATTTGCCCTCTAAATTCTGCCTCTACTTACTTTTTTTGTGATGTTCGTAGATAAAAGGTGTCCATAATTCACAACGTTGTGTTGTGAGTACGTCAGTATTGGAATATAGTTATTCAATTTATTTGTAATTTACAAATTAGAATGGTCTACCTCAAAAAAGAGGAAAAAAACATTCCTTTTTTAATGTATTTGTTGAAAAACAAAACATTTCCATAAAGTCATCGTTATTTGTGAGAATTGTAAACAAATGTAACAAGAGTCGATTTAAGTGCGTAAACAGAAAGCAATATTGTTTGCTATTTACATATTCTGTCGACAATTTCATTTGTTTATTTATTTACTTCTTTCCGTGGGAAATATCCATTTTGTTTTGACGCAAATATGTGACCAAACTAACCAACCATTAAATTAAATAACAATCCTCATTTTTAGTTTTTGTTTCTAAACAATATAGTTAGACAATGATATTAGTTGGGTACTTATTCGCTTTTTAATAAATCAATCAACATGTCAATTTCTTAAGACAGAACTCCATGGAAAAATGTACTGGCAGTCTACATCATCGCCTTTGCCGAAAAATCGTTTATATTGTTTATGGGGAACGTTAGCTGGTGTATTGTTTATTATTCAGTGCATACCACGCCATATTGCATTCGATGTGCTCTTTGAGTTTCCATTCACTTCGTTACAAAATGTGCAGGTACAATCTGTCTTATTTTAAAACTAAATGCCAGTTAGTAATACTAGAATTAGCGCTAGAATAGTACATGACATCATCGTGATTCACAAATAAAAGACATGTAGATTTTCTTCTACACATTTTGTTTTTGAATTTAGAAGAGGGGTCTGTCAGAAAAAAAAATTGACGATTTATTTTTAAAGCAATGTCGTTCGTTCTTTTTTTGAAATACTAAATTGTAGCCAGCCCGTAACAAATAATACTGGATGGTCATAGAAAAAAATGGACGACTGAAGTACCTAACATTTTTTATCGTCAACAATACTAGTTTTTACAATTAGTATTTACTTACGTTCTGTGTTCAATGTGCAAGACGGTTACAAGGTTATTTAATTACTTACCGATTTCAGTGTTAACAAGGAAACCAATTGATGAAATTGATGAAATTGCACTATTCATTATTTACTATGAAGTCACTATTTGACGTTTGTTTTCGAAAAACATAATATCTTCAACTTTAATCAACTTCGCTCATAATTACTTATCCAGTATTCCAGTCGATCATCCTCGACACAGAAAATAAAACTTAACGAAACAATGAGAATGTATCCTCCATCACTTAAGTATTTTAATTATTTATTTATGAACAGTTGTTACCAGCCGCTATAAGTAATGGCTCGTCTAAGACGCTGGCCTTAGCATTCCTTGTGATAACAATAATGAACGAACTGACTATTTAATTCATGAATTAGCTGTAATCTGAGATTTTATCATAATTATTATCTATGCACAGCAGGATGGAAAGACAGAAGATAAAGACTAAGCATTAAGTAGAAATTTAGATAAAATATTCAGTGATTAGGAACTCAAAACTTCAAAAGTCGTGGTGGCCCGAGGTTAAGACGCCCTCTTCTCATGCATGAGGGTGCGGGTTCGAAACCTACCAACGGCAAATACCAATGTGACTATTTCCGAGTTATATGTACTTTCTAAGATTATCTAGACACCACTGACAAACGGTGAAGGAAAACCGTATGTCCAGCAGGAGACGAACACTGATGATGATGATGATGAGAACTCAAAAGCAATCAGTGCTAAGCCAAATGGCTTTTGAGTGGTAGTCGAATGAAAATTCTATTCCCTAACTCGATGGACTTAATAATATTGGTGCATAATGTCACTATTTACGTCAAGCCATATATTTAATAGGTACAGAGTTTTTGTCTATAATATCTATCTACTTAACTATCGCTTAAATGCCAAAGCTACCTATTCAATTGGTACGCACAGAGATTGTCTAGTAGAAATTAACTTTAAAATGTACCTAATTAAAACTAAATAAATTATTATGTTTTCGGCATAGGTACTCACGTAATAATTTGACCAGGAACTCGACTAGTTTCAAGCCATGCTAGAGGCTCATATTCAGAGTAAGCTGAAAACATAACAATTTATTTAGTATGTCTCACGAAAGTTACAATATAATTAAAACTACTTCGGTCCACCCGTACTACTCGTACCTACTTGGTTTTTTCTAGGCTAAGCTGATCACTATGCACCTATGACGTCAGACTGACCTTAGAATTGTGTCGCAAGGAAACGTGCGCACAATACCATTAGGTCGTAATTGCACCGTTTGCGATGTTACGAGAATCGCTTTCTAGGGTTGCAGGGAGGGACAGAATATTATGCAAACGTAAAGTAACTGCATGTGACAATAGAATCCCAGTTGGTATTGCAACAGTTAGGTGCAGACAAACTAGACTGGAAGACATACTGTTTTTGGAAGACCCGCTAATCGCTTGTAAGTAGTCCGGAAGACTATATTAGGCTTTGATTAACTCGTCGAGTACCGTATTTATAGACACAATTAAAGAACAATAGGTCGCGGTCACCGGTGACCGCTTGGTGTTTGACAGTTTAATGTTAATTTAAACTGTGAATGTTTTCCAAATGTGTATGGTATGTGTATTGCTATTCCTAATATAAATTAAAGTCTTTGTATGAATATATTAGATACAATACATACATACTTAACTGCCTAGTTGGCCGAGTGGTCGCAAGTACGATTGCCGGGCAAGGGGTCTCGGGTTCGATTCCCGGGTCGGTCAAAGTGTTATTGGGTTTTTAAAAATCTCAGTAGTAGCACGGAGTCTGGAAATGTGCCCGGTATATGACAATAGGCTCATCCCCTGTTGCATGGGACTCATAACATAAATAGTGAAAAGTGGGTGTTTGTACAGTGGCATTAAGTGCCGAGATGTGCACCCCTGCCTACCCCTTCGGGAATAAAAAGGCGTGATGTTATATTATTATTGTTATATTAATACATACATATTATGTCAGGACTACGAACAGATTAACGCACTAAAGTTTTATCTCATGAATCGAGAGTGATATTTTTAACTACAGCACTCTTCAATTGCTTATATTCTCATAATACTAGCCGGGCCATATATAGACTTTTCATAATAAAACGGTAAAACTAGTTCAGGCTATTCGATACCGCAGTTTGCAGCTGGCTCAGAAACT